GGTTATAACCCCCCCATCCCCCGTGTAAATTACGCCGGTGGGGGCAACAATGTGTTGCTATTAAAATAACAACAATTGTTCTCTATATATTAAATATTTGTAATAAAGCTCACTTGTAGCCATCTCTGTATTGAATTAAATTTGTGTATTTATTATTTTAGGTTTATGACATCATCTGGAGACATTCACAAACATCTGATCAGAGCTGCAGGCTGACAGGTTCCTGCAGGACAGTTCTCTGAAGACCATGGAGGCTCACCCAGTGCTGAACAGGACCAAGAAGTCTGATCTAGTTCAGGAGCTGCAGTGGTGCTGCGGCTCTGTACCAGCTGCTCTTCATGGAGAACAATCTGCAGGACACCTTCAGAGACTGTGACTCTGCTGAAGATCCTCATCACATCTCCTCTGACCACAGCTGAACCTGAGAGGAGCTGAACACTGAAGACAATCCAGACTTTCCTCAGGTACAACATGACATCTCACTGCACTGACCATGCTCTATAAGAATCTGGTTCAAACATCCTGACTTTAACCAGAGTCATGAAGAAATTTGATTCTCGGTTACAGAAGAGCAAAATTTATGTACAGAAAATAAAAACTACATGACATTGTAATGCTGTTTTATTATTATCATTTGTTTAATAAATACATTAGCGTGAAACAACTTAGTACATGTTTGATTGCTTTTGGAGATGAGCCTATTTTGGAGACAGACAACTCCTGTAGTTTGGCCTTCAGGATCGTTGGCCTTGACTAAACCAGAATGATGAACAGAGAATTATGATTAACTGCAGAAATATTACTAATATTTATTAAATGAGAAAACGCTTTTAAAAATAATTAAAATAACATAACATGAAAATGTCTTCAATTTAATTTATATTCAGAACCTGAAACATAACTGTGGTGAAGCCGATTATATGTAAAAGCAGCCTGCCTTACAGATGAGCTTCCTCATGCTGCTGGAATGATCTGCTCTGACTGAAAGGACTTAACTACTGAGACTTAAGAACAAGCAACCATTCACATTTAATTTCCACAGTTAACAAAAAAAAGTTTAATAGTTCATTTGAGGAAAAAAACCAGCTGATTCACTGAGCGAGCATGTTTTTGCTTCACAGAGGGGACAATGAGAAAGTCCCTATGAGGATAGAAGAACAAGCGTGTGTGTGCCTGCATGCGGGGTGTCGAGCGGAGCGCCGTGTTCATGCTGCTAGATGGCTTTATTACGGGACAAGGAGACTTTTTGTTTCAGCAGACAACCGCATCCCCCCTCCTCCTCAAATGACCGGGCGCACCAGTGTGATCAGAAAAATTTTAAGGCGCACTATGCACTATTAAAAAATAAGATTGCATTTGCCAAATTAGTCGCACTCTAGAGCCTGTAAGGGACCTAGTGGAGGGGGCTCTAGCACTCTGATTTGTATTAGTCACATTTTGAAGAGCCCTCCAGTCTTTAAATTATACCACTCACAGGCCAGGCCCATAACTTCAGGCGCTCTGGGTGGGGGTGAAAAACTGCCCCCCCCTGGCCACTTTAATGCAACACTGGATGGAAATAAATCTTGTGACATTGCAGAAGCTTATCAAAACAATGCCACAGTGAATACATGCCATAATCAAAGCTAAAGGTGGTCCAACCAAATGGTGTGTGACCTTTTTCTTTGGTGGGAACATTTTTTGTCCAGGCAGTGTCTTTAAGCAGACTGTTTTCATTAGAGAAATATAATTTAAACCTCTGAGAAAATGACTCAGTGTACTGTAACATTGCTGAGGACAAAGCATCATAGATGGTTGCTACATCAGTTGAGTTTAGTTGAATGTAGAGGTTACCACTGATTGACCAGAGTTAGTCTAAGTAAATAAACACTGGATGAGCTAACTATTATTAATAATCTTTGAACACAAAGAATTTAAGCATGTTACCTAACACCCTCTGTATGTTTCACAGCACTGACTCTGTCTGAGGACTGTCTTGCTAACAATAATCATAAGGACACCTGTTCTGCAGAGCAGAAATGTCTGTATTCCTCTTCTTATTTATTGACATGATAAAATAACAAGAAACAAATAATTAAATTATGAAGCCAGTAAATTCAAATAGGTAACAATTAACAAATCAATAAAGAGGTTGACCAGTAATCATTGTTACCTGGTAAACAGAGCTGGAGCTTCTCCACTGTGGTGGTCATGTTCCTCTGTTGGATTCGACAACAAATCACCTCTTCTGTCTGAGCTGTCACCTGGAAACACACAATAAATGAGGTCACCACAGTGGATTACTGAGGTTAAACAAAAATCACATCCAATTTGTAACAGCCCAGGCAGTTAATGAGCTTCCATGGGAGACAGAAAAACACAAAAATGGATTTGTTATCTGCAATTTATCCATATTATGTACTTACTTCCTTTCCAGCTTCTTGTAATCTTCGGTTAGTGTCTTTCACTTGACCCTTTGGAAAGAAAATCCAGACATCAGTTTAACTGTAAACACTCAAATATCTTATTTTTTACTTTCTTCAAAATTTATTTCCTCCTGTGCTGGTGCCCTTGGGGGCTCCGTACTTGGGGGCCCTATCGGGGTCTGTGGCTCTGGTCTCCCTTATGTCTGCTTCAGGTCTTGGGGGTTGGGTCTGTGGGTCTCCACAGTCACTATTAAATATTCCCTTGGAGAAAACTTGTATATACATGCATGCTCACAACCACACACAAACAGGTGTTCAGATCCTGGGGTTTCTGACGGTCACTGAATGTGTATGCATGTATATATATA